GTCAGGAACGGTCGTCCATTTGTGGGCGGGCGGGCGTGGCGGGCGTTTGGGACGTAAAGTTGTGGCTTGATAGGGCCCTTATAAGGGCACCTTCCTCGGGGAAACCGCTATGCAGCGCCTGCCCAGGGTCGCGGAATTCTATCCTGCCAGGAGTATTGATCCTAGTCGCCTTGGGGGATTTATCGTGCCAACTGCCTTTAATTATTAATTTTGTAATATTCGTGTACACTTTTCAAATATTGTCGTATTCAGGACGTTAGATCAATCCCTCAGCTCTTACTCCTTGCGCTAGATAAACCAACTTTCTAAGCAAAATAACAGTAGATGCACCACAGCGGTTACGCAACTTGGTTTACAGGGTTAGAGAGGTCCTCTTTTCAACCTTTCAAAAAGGAATACATAATTGTAATCTGTAGTATGATAGATTGTTCTCTGAAGCTGCGTTCATACTTTGCAGCAGCGTCACAGCGTCCATCAGCGACCATCAGCGTTTCGAGCGTCCGTCAGCGTCAGTGACTAGGAAAGTATAGATATCGATCTAGCGAACGGCAGCGTCTACCAGCGTCCACCAGTGTACATCAGCGACCAGGAGTAGAGAGTATGGGGAAGCAAGAGGGTAGCAGATCGCTGGTAGAGTATGGGGAAGTAGGAGGGAGGAGACAGCTGGATCAGGCGCGTGAAATTGTGGCGTGTGCAACCGCACCGTACTACTACACAATACCGTACTCCTGGTCGCTGGTGACGCTGGTAGACGCTGCCATTCGCTAGATCGATAACTATGCTACCTAGCCGCTGACGCTGATAGACGCTCAAAATACGGATGGACGCTGCTGCAAAGTATGAACGCAGCCTGACTGTTGTTCATATTAATTTGGAAAACCCTACTTCTGCTCAACGAGAGTATAAGAGACTAAACGGATTCTAGTGTACTCAACGGTCTCTCGGCTGACATCATCACCTCTGGTCTCTTGAGAACCAGCGGAGATTGTGTATAACTGTTATCAGTACAAAACGATGATTTAAGCAGTGCATCGCTGTCAAAGCAAACGGCGCTAGTCATTTGCTACTAATTTTACTCACGAGAGATCCTTCAAGTCGTGGAGACCACTTTCGGACGGGTTTCTTGCATATTGCAGAGGTTCATGCGGGGACCATAATAGTGTAGTTAATTTTCGCTTTACGCTGCTGGAAACCCCGAGAAGCGACGAAAAAAGTTCTGCATGTTTACCACCAACTCAACAACGGAGAGCTTTGATGTTTCTCTGAACAAAAGGTTCCGGCGTTTTTAGTCGTTTTTCTGACAAAAGGTCCCGACAATATGAATAAAAAAAAATTGCTGGAATGCAAAATCTTGTCATTTAGGGTATTCAAGCCAACAGTCTTTTTCACCCTTTCTTTGACCTGCTCAGAAGTGCGCAGTCAGAAAGCGCTACACTTTTGCAGTCAGAATACAGCATCATTGTGTGAAACATAGGGGGGACTGGTCGTACTTGACCACTGGGGAGGGGGTCGTATGTGCCTTTGAGAGAAATTTGCCGCGCTAGGAAAAAATTTTTCCCGATTTTTCTCGTTTCACATTTGCTATATACCCCTCCCCCATCTCCCTTGTTAGTGGCGCCGCCAAAGTTCTATATAATTAGTATTTTTGATAGTTGAAAATAGTGCCGGTTGCTGGCGACCTCCCCCTTTCCCCGCTCGATGGAAAATTTTTCGGGGAAAAAAAGAAAAGTGTGGGAAATTTCGAAAAACTGGTAGGAAGTTGGGAACTTGTGGGGAAGTGGTAGGTATTAGGGAAGGAGGGGGGAGGGGGATGGTACTGACATCACCATTACACACATCACGATGCTGTACCCTGTTTGTAGTCCCCTTATGGACTGAAACGCTTTCTTGGGAAGGTTGCTTTGGGATCACGCGCCGGCACCCCTAGGCCAACTCGCCTGCACCTCCCACAGGAAGCTCGAAGTCAGCGGCGCCAGCCGTCCAGAGCAGGCGCGGCCAAATTTCATTGCTCCCCCCCCCCTCGCCCACCTTACAAGGGAACCCCAACAGGTCGATCCGGCCATTTGCAATGAGATGTACATAATGGACGTGTCTTGAGCCGCTGAATTCAAATCTGCCCTCCTTTTTTGCGGAACGATTCTCTGAAGAGAGTTACGGACCATTTAATCTTTGCTCTGTTGTACAAGTTGAGAAGGATAGTTGCTTGCAGCAAGCGGCGATGGCCTAGTGGAGAAGCGCAGTGCTTCAGAGACACGAGGTCGCATGTTGGAATCCTTGACTCTTAAAATATTTTTGCTTTTGTTCAAAGCACTTCATATCAGTCCCCAGAACACTTCTGTTTGGCCGATTCACCTAAATCTCTGATTATTTAACAATAGAAGCGGCCATTGCTATATTTGTGGTTCCTTCTGAAAACTTTTATTATGAGGATGACCGTTTCTAGAGCTCGCATCGAGTAATGGGAATCTTATGGTTCAAAAGCACATGTGGTATGTCTATGTTTTCAAGCCTTGCGCGTCCCACCAAAACAGCCTAGTTTACGACCATAAAGACTAAAAAATTTGATTGCGTTTACCAGCTTATTATACGTCAGTTATAAACACTGCACATTAATGCCCCACCATTTTATTATGTACGCACTATTAAGCTGTTTAACGAGTCTCAACCGTTCATGGGTATCCAGAACGTGAACAAGGTCTCCAAAAAAGAAGACAAAATCTACCTCGAGGTTGGAATCGGTCCGATCGGAGCATGTCAGGTCTGCCGTGCACCTTGCCTTGCAGTCTCCAATCGTGCAATCGGCGTCGGTCGTACAAGAACGTCCTTGAAGTGCAGCCCGGAGTCGAGACTCAGTATATACCATGTCTCCATCCATCAGCACAAATCTGAAAGGGACACACTTTATTTCACATCTTTCTGTTCTAAATGAAGACAGCATAGCGTACCGCTTCGGATAATCAGCAGAAAGTCCCAGATTGTCGAAGCGAACGTCACACCATTGAAGCGGCTCGTTGAGAAACTCGTAGAACAACTTCAACGTGCCCATTATGTGCACAAGAATTTTACCCTGAAACGACGCGCGACCATACAACAAAGAACTGGAACTGGGAAACAATGACTAGACCTTGAGATTCATATAGTAGCCCTTCATGCGGAACGCAACAAGCACTTCAGTGGAGTAGAACTGGCCACATGTGCCAATAATCTAAAACATAACAAAAATAAAGAATCCGGTGAATATAAGCGATCACTACAAGTACGAATGATAAAAAGATGAGACCTTTGGAGTAACCCTCGTTAATGGCAACACTCGGAACAAAATGAACTCAGGCTGCTGAAGTAGGGCCCATAGGGAAGCCTGATCAGCTGCATTCATCGACTCTCCAGGGGTTCTTAATGAACAATAATTTGAACGAAAACGAAAAACTTGAAAGGCATAAGACACGATGTTTAAAGATGGTAGCAGGGATGCTATTTAATGGGGGAAATGGCGAAAAAGCTAAGTAAAACGGCCAAAATCTGCAAAAAAGCCTTTTTTCTACACGGAAATAGACGGACATTTTTGGACAAATTTTAAGTTCATTGTGCCAACAACGGCTTTGGAAGACTGCACGCGTGCGTTCGTACATCCATGTAGCACCGCTTCATATTGGTGCTTCATGAAAGAAGCGATAAGAGTACCACGTCGAGTGACTGCCCGGCCAATTGTGGGCGGGCGGTTGCAGTGGGCGTTCGGGTCGGCATGCTGCACTTTGTGAGCGCTGTAGTAGCGCCCTTGATTGAAAAGAGGGCGCATCATTGGTTGGGGTTTTGATCGAGTTCGTACGACACCCAACTGAAGCGTGGCTTGATGCGATTCCTCCCCCTCCTAGCGAGTTCTCAAGGGGGAGGCGGTTAATAGCGCATGTCACACAGGAAAAACTAGCACATTTGAAACAGGACAAACAGCGAAAAATCAACAAACGGGACAATTTTCTCCCAACGCCGCTAATTTCTCTCGAAAGGCGAATACCATCCCCTTCTAGCGTACGCGAAACAAGA